TATCATATAGCTTTTTGTTAAGCTTTCCTTAATAAAGTGAAGGGCAAGATCGCCTAAGTTTAAAAAAAAAAAAAAAATATTCTCTTTCTTGTTGTGCCCAATTAGTATGATTTGCTTATTCATTTATAATTTGCTCTAATTGTATTTTAAGAATATTACTTATATTAAAACATATTGTTTTATATTTTATGCATAAGTTACTTCTAGGTGAAAAAAATTTAATTTCAGGAATATATAATTTCCAAATATTAATAAAACTTGTTGAGCTAATTATTTGATAAGAATTTTCTTCAATTATTGAATTATATAAATGAAATAAACTTAAATAACTTTCTGTTGCTGGAAGAAAAATTATTGATTTTGTTTCTGTATCAAAATGATGACCTAAAATAAAATATAATTAAAAAAATTTTTAATAAAATAAAATTTAAAATTTTCATACCAGGAGATAGAAGTTCATGAATATTAGCATAATTTGTAATAAAAATTAAAATATTTATAATAATTTCAAAAGAAATTTTGTTGTTACTATATTTTCCTTTAAGTCCATGAGAAATTGGTAAAATATCATATTCAAGAAAATGTTTACAAATTGATTTCCATTTCCATTCTGATATATCATATATTAATAAAAATGCTTCTGAACAATATGATCTTCATTAAAAAAATATTCATTAGTTAAATATTTTTTTTTTGTTCCATGTTCAGTAATATTTTCTTTTCTAACAAAAGCATTAAGTATGCCTAATAATAATATATTTTTTTCATTTTTTGATAATATTTGAATATTTTTCCATTTTTTTATAGCAACTTCACGATCTATAATTTTTTTTGTATATTCTAAAGTTGAGCAATATTTGAATGAATCAAATCTAAGACAAAAAGTATTAATATCTTGTTCTATAAGTTCTTTTTGTTTTTTATCAAAATTTTCAACAAAAAACTCAGATTTTTGATTAAATATTTTATAAAAATAGTTAATTTGTATTTCAGAAACAACATTATTATCAATATTATAAAATAGTTCACTAATTAAAATATTATCATTATTATTATTTTCTTCTAAAATTTTATCAAAAATTTTTCTTCATTATAAGTAGATTGATAAATACTTTGTAATTCTAAAATATTAGTATTTAAAGTAACTAATTCTGGATGAGTTTCTGTAAAAATACTATTAAATAAAGAATGAGCCATTTAATATAAATTGTATTAAAATTATAATTTAAATAGTTTAAAAAATAATTATCAAAGTAATTATATATTTAAAGAATTTTATAAATTTAAATATTTTATGTCGAATATAAAAAATTTTTAAAAAGAATCATTTATTACTATTTTATTAATATTTATACATAATTTTAAATACAATTAATTACTAATTATAAATAATAAAAATAATCTTGATTAATAATATAATAAAATCATTTTA